AGGAGGGGGGAAGGAGAGGGGAGGAGAAGGTGGAAGAGGATGATGCACGGACCAGCGAAGCATACGTCGAAACCACTGTGTAAGACGAGTTACATGTACAGGGTGTCGACGCTGGCGAGCCCGAATGTAACGAGTCCATCCATGAGCTAATGTTGACGGAGCATGGCCACGAGAAAGCAATCGGCGGACAAGCATGGTTGCCGCAGCTCTGAAATCACGCCAATTGTCACAGATCTGCTCAAAAGACAAGGGGGAGAAGCTGTGGCCCCTTCACGCTTATGAAATGGACGGCGATCACCCGGCCTCCCACAATGCCCGCAGATCGAGTTCCCGGTTTTCATCTTTCTCGCTTAGTCAACTTCGCCGGGAGTGTTTGTGGATCAGAGGTGGCAAGCACCAGAGACCTTAGAGCCTGACCAGTGGCTGGATATGGTACAGACCAGGCCAGAACTTCTGATCAACAAACACTTCATGAGTTCAAACAACACTTGACGTGAGAGTGCGAAAGCCTGCACCTCTCTTCCAGGGTTGCAGGGGGGAGGACGGGAACCAAGGCAAAGAAGAAAGAAGCCTAGAGCCTTGTGAAGTTGTGATCCACTGAGCCTGCTCAGTCAATCCCCTGGGATCCAGGGTAATCCATACTGGCAGGCACTCCCTTTTTTCAAAACACGAGTACTCCACAGGGACGCTGGACCCGATTTCCAGCAGGTGTTGCTCCCCACCCACCAATAGATGGAGCCTTCAATACTGGGGCCTGCTCAAGGAGGATGCTCTTATCACCTCATTCCCGCGGCGAGAAGTTTTCAAAAAGAAAAAGAAAAAACGAAACGAAACGAAAAGAAAAGAAAAGAAAAACGTTGTGATCCATATACCTGACGGTAGGAGGCCTGAGTTGTGAGAGCAATTCAAGGCGGCGGTCCATCCTGCAAACGCCAAAAAAAAAAAAAAAAAAAAAAAAAAAAACGAAAAAGCCAGGCAAGAATTAACGTCGAGGGTTCGCTGAGATGAGCTCCAGCAAGATGACAACACCACGATCACTTCTGGCAGCGAGACAGAAATAAACAATCTTTCTCGGCGTTCTCGTCCATTTGTTGCCACTGTGCAGCCGCACTCTTCATTCCAATCAGAAGACTGAAATGTACAGTTCCCAGCATTCAAGAAGATAGAAAACCCAAACAAACAAACAAACAATAAAAAACAATAACAAAAAGCCAAGTTGGGTGCTGGGTTCCTCAGAATCTATACAGTTTTCACAGCCACATGCACGGCCATGCATGCAGTCGCAAAGACTCGCAACTGAATGTTGCTGTTGCTCTGTCAATAAAAGATTGGAGCAGGCATCTGAGATAGTCCCGGTCACCGCATTTGCGATAATGATATTTCCCAAAATGCGCATAACATATTACCGTTTCCCCCCCGTCATACGCCGCATCATCATGAACGTATACAAGCCCATTCCAATCCAGATTCAGTCTGATCCAGTAGCTGTAACAGGGACTGCCGGCTGCCGTAAAAGCGTTGAGCTCCCGACAAAAAACGTTTTTTGCCTACTCAGCCCTTCCAGGAAGTGGTGTGAGGGGAGGAGTCCCCCCAAAGTATTTACTGTCCGGCGTCGGGGTTGAGGTCGGGGTTGGAGTCGGGTTTGGAGTTAGGTTCGCGGTCGGGGTCGGGGTTGGGGGTGGGGGTGGGGGTGGGTTCGGGGTCGGGGTTCGGGGTTGGGGGTGAGGGTGGGGTTGGGGTCAGGGGTGGGGTTAGGGTTGGGGGTGGGGTTGGGGTTGGAGTTAGGGGTTGGGGGTTGGGGGTTGGGGGTTGGGGGTTGGGAAGAGAAGGAAGATGGGCGGGTGGAGGGAATGTAGCGGAGAAATCATTACACCCTACGACACAACCTCATGTTCAACCCGTGGTCAACGGTCGCCCGCTTCCACCCCCCAACCCCAACATCCACCCGTCGTCAACTCGAAATTTAAGGGTCAAAGAAATATAAAAAAAAAGCAGGAGGAGAAACAAACAACCAGGACAGAAACAGAAAGAAAAAGAACACATGCGCAAGTGCTCTGTTTCCACTAACCCATAACACCATCCTTCTTTTTTCCCTTTTCCCTTTTCTAACACTCTAATGTCGTTTTCTCCTCTTTCCGTTCAAGGCTTTTTTCACCAAGCAAGCAAAGAATCGACAACAACAATCATAAAGGCAACGAGGACAATGACGAAGATAACAATGACAACAATAACAACAACAACAACAACAATGGCAAAGAAGGAGGAGGAGGAAAAGACGAAGACGAAGACGAAGACGATGACGACGACGACGAAGAAGAAGAAGAAGAAGAAGAAGAGCAAAAAAAGGGCACAGCAGCAGAGGAGAAGGGAGAAAGAGAAAAAAAAGAAGAGGCGCAAAAGAAGCAAGAGAAGTAGTAGCAGCTCGTCACCCAAGCATATCATCTCCACTCACTCTCATTGAGGTATCTGGCTGCTTCCATACTGCTGAAGCCATTCTCCGGGTTCCTGGATCCATAGTTCCCTTCATACCCCCCTCCAGAGCTTCCGCTGTTCCCATGACCTCCTACACCTCCACCTCCTCCCGCCCCAGACCCCATCCGTTCTCCCATCCTGTCCCCCATTCTGTCGCCCATCCTGTCACCCATCCTGTCGCCCAACCGGTCTACCATCCTATCACTCATCCTGTCGTTCATCCGATCTCCCATCCTGTCCCCCATCCTATCCCCCATCCTGTCCCCCATCCTATCGCCCATCCTGTCACCCATCCTGTCGCCCATCCTGTCCCCCATCCTGTCCCCCATCCTGTCCCCCATCCTGTCGCCATTGTCATTTCCATAGTTGTTAGGACGATCAAACCGATCACCTGCCAAATACATAACGAGAAAAAAATAGAAAGCACCCTCCAGACCTTCAGCATCAATCTGGACAAGAAGAGCCAGCTCATCTCCGCCTGTGTGAGGAAGGGATATTGACGTTATTGAAATCAGTCTATAAGACCCTCCAATAGCGTCTGAATCCAGAGCTGAAAAATGAGGAATATGCAGGCGGGTAAAAAAAACGACAATGACCTGTTCAAATACAAACCCAAGTTTGAATCCAGATGCAATCAAAATAATTCTGAATTACATGGGGGCCGGTCAGCTCAGTGATCGTATCTCAAGCCCATTGCCCTTCTTTTTTTTTAAAAAAAAGCAATTCTCAAATGCTTGAAAAACCTTTGAAGACGTGTATGGGAACACGTTCGAATGTGGTTTTTCGGTGTGGCTATGGTGTGAATCTGCTCTCTCTGGTCTGCCAGTCATTGCAGATGTGTATGGGAACATTTGAATGCGGTTTTTAATTATGAAACAATCGAGCACATAACAGTCGTATGACTCCACATCACGAATGAGTGGAAAAGTGGAAATGTTTGTTCCCCCGCGATACATTGGTGTCTTGGTCGTTTAGCTGCACCTATTCAACATTGATTCATCATGCATCTGCAGTAAACCGCATTCAGCAGCGGCCTGGGCGCTGTAACCCAAGCCCAGGCCCAGCGAGCAGTGCGACCACGCGCTGCTCGGCCTCAGGCCGCTGCGGGTGACTGTGTGACCGCGCACAGCAAGAAATTCAAAGGTCAAAGTAAACTGTAGGTCCAGGAACCTCGCCCAGGCCCTTGGTCGTGTGCATCGACTTGTATGAGTGCAGGTACCCAG